GCTTTTTTCTTTCTACTTATGTGGTGCTGAGGAATCGAACCCAGGGCCTCATGCATGCAAGGCAAGCGCTCTACCACTGAGCCACCTTCCCAGCCCCTATAGTTTATTCTTTTACCACTTCCTTATTCTCCAGTCTTTCTTTCTTCCCAGATCAGATGCCTGAGGGTCAATAGATTCATAATTAAGTGTCTGTGGCCCGATTTTGCAGTGCTAAAGATTGAACCCAGATTGTACTAGGCAAGTGCTGTACCACTGAACTGTACCTTCAGCCCTGAGCTGTTTTTTTTTTGTGTTTTGTTTTGTTAGGAAAGAGGGTATAAAGAAGGATGTTGCATGTGATGGACACTGCCAGCCTGGACAGACAAACTGATTTTCCTTCCCTATCTCCCTAACCAGAGTATCCAAAAACAGTAATTTTGGAGATATGTACTAGCCAAAGGCTTGGATACTGTCACCCTGGTTTGTAGGGGTGATACTTATGGCCTCATGCCCCAATAGGAGCTCCATGCCAGGTGCAGTCTTTAATCCCCAGTAGCCAGCCATGGCTATGGGATGGTGGTAAGGAGTCTGGTACAAGTGTTAAGTGGAGGACACAGACAAATCCAGCTCTGACTGTAGCACACCACAGCTTGACCTTCTCAAAGGCGTGGCTTATATCCTAATGGCAGAACATAGGAACCATACTGGCCTCTGGCCTCTTCTTTTTTTTTTGTCGGTCATGGGGCTTGAACTCTGGGCCTGGGTGCTGTCCCTGCACTCTTCAGCTCAAGGTGAGCGCTCTACCGCTTGAGCCACAGTGCCACTTCCGGTTTTCTAGTGGTTTATTGGAGATAAGAGTCTCACGGATTTTCCTGCCCAGGCTGGCTTTGAACCGAAATCCTCAGATCTCAGCCTTCTGAGTAGCTAGGATTACAGGCGTGAGCCACCGGTGCCCAGCTACCTCTGGCTCCTTCTACCTAACACTACCCAAGGTAGCATCCCAGCTGGTCACCCAGGTAAACAATTTTCTCCTTCTTGAGGAGAACAACATTGGGTAGGCAATGAAGGTAGTTAGCTGGTGGGAGTTTAAGGAATGAGAAAAGCAGGGGAACTGATATTTTGTGCAGCTTCTCATTAAACCACAATGATCCAAAGCATATAGGCCAATGTGTTAGATTCAGCAGCTCAGAAATTTGGATGACTTGTCACAGATCTTTTGCTTAGCACTTCCAGGTTGATTGTATTAATCAGCCATCTATCACTGTAATAAAAAAACCAGAGGCAATTAACTTATACTTAGGAGAGTTTTATTTGGCACATAGTTCTGAATGTTTCAGTCCAACACTGATTGAGCCCACTGTTTTGGGCATCTGGCAAGAACATCCTATCATGGTGGGAATGTGGAGAAGAGCCGACTGCTTACTTCATGAGCCAGGAAGCAAAACAGAGAGAAAGAAAACTAGAGTCTCAAAGTCCCCTTAGAGGACACACCCCCAATGACTTCATAGTCACAGTACCTCTCACTAGCACCCTCCTGGGACCAAGACTTTACCACAGGTTCCTTTTGGGAGAACACTATCTATATTCAAACCACGGCATGGGTAGATATTGACTTAGGGCAATGAGAAATAGTACGCGTGCTCTCATCCCTGGTCTTAGCATCTCTAGTCTCACAGATAAGCAGGCCAGTCTCTGTGTCTAGGGCCGGTATTCACCATGTTGATATTCACCTGGTGGGCCAGGCAGCCTGGCGGTGGGCTTCTCAGTGACTGGTGGACCACTGGCATTGAGTCCCTTACAAAGCAGGGACTCGTGCAAGGCCAGAGTCCACTTCTTTTTATTTTTATTTTATTTTTTGCCAGTCGTGAGGCTTGAACTCAGGGCCTGGGCACTGTCCCTTTTTACTCAAGGCTAGCACTCTACCACTTGAGCCACAGTGCCACTTCTAGCTTTTTCTGTTTATGTGGTACTGAGGAATCAAACCCAGGGCTTTGTGTATGCTAGGCATGCACTCTACCACTAAGCCAATGCTCAGCCCTATTTTTTTTTTTTTTTGGTTGGTCATGGGGCTTGAACTCTGGGCGTGAGCACTGTCCCTGTGATCTTCAGCTCAAGGCCAGCTCTCTACCACTTGAGCCACAGTGCCACTTCTGGTTTTCTAGTGGTTTATTGGAGATGAGTCTCATGGAGGCTGGGAAGTTGGCTCAGTGGTAGAAGTGCTTGCCTCGCATGCATGAGGCCCTGTGTTTGATTCCTCAGCACCATATAAGCTGAAAAAGGTCATAAGTGACACTGTGGCTCAAGTGGTAGGGCACTAGCCTTGAGCTGAAATGCTGAGGGACAACACCCAAGCCCAGAGTTCAGCCCTCACAACTGACCCCTCCCCCCCAAAAAAGGAGTCTCATGGACTTTCCTGCCTGGGCTAGCTTTGAACTGAGATCCTCAGATCTCAGCCTCTTGAGTAGGTAGATTACAGGCATGAGCCACCGTGCCCGGCTCCTATTATTTTATTTTAAGTGGTTGTATAAATAGGTCAGTTTACCTCTAAAGAGAGATATAGCCTTTTTTTTTTTTTTTGTCGGTCATGGGGCTTGAACTCTGGGCCTGGGCGCTGTCCCTCAGCTCTTCAGCTCAAGGCGAGCACTCTACCACTTGAGCCAGAGTGCCACTTCCGGTTTTTCTTTCTGCTTATGTGGTGCTGAGGAATCGAACCCAGGGCCTCATGCATGCAAGGCAAGCACTCTACCACTGAGCCACCTTCTCAGACCTCAAGATTTGTTTAGATCAGTTAGTACCACATTTATAGAGCACTTATACTATGCTAGTCATGATTTTTTTGGGGGGGGGGTCCAGTCATGGGGCCTGAACTCTGAGCCTGGGAACTGTCCCTCAGCTCTTCAGCTCAAGGCTAGAGCTCTACCACTTGAGCCAGAGTGCCACTTCCGGTTTTTCTTTTTGCTTATGTGGTGCTGAGGAATCGAACCCAGGGCCCCATGCATGCAAGAC